CCAGCAGAGCACAGCCCAGCCCAGCAGAGCACAGCCCAGCCCAGCACAGCCCAGCCCAGCACAGCACAGCCCAGCAGAGCACAGCACAGCCCAGCAGAGCACAGCCCAGCCCAGCAGAGCACAGCCCAGCCCAGCACAGCCCAGCCCAGCACAGCACAGCCCAGCAGAGCACAGCACAGCCCAGCAGAGCACAGCCCAGCCCAGCAGAGCACAGCCCAGCCCAGCACAGCCCAGCCCAGCACAGCACAGCCCAGCAGAGCACAGCACAGCCCAGCAGAGCACAGCCCAGCCCAGCAGAGCACAGCCCAGCCCAGCCCAGCAGATACAGTATTCCGACGCGTCCTCGCGGAAGGGGGCGTGTCGCGCTCCTACACTCTCAACACAACAACGCGCTTCTAAACAGAACGCTCTGAAGGAACGGAACCACGCATATGGTTACTTCAACCATAAACGACGCATAACATTATAATCAGCTGTGAATATAATAATAACACTTTTTTTCTCCAAACCACACCGGGAGTTACATATGGAAACACTGGTTTTTAATCAGTAAATATCCTGGAAAGCCATCACAAGAGGAAAAACTAAACGGCGTTCCTGTGAAAACAAACCCTTCCACCGGCTTCAGCTCGCGGTGGATGCGCTATGGGGGAGGGGTGAATCGGTTAAATGTACCAACCCCCTGCTTTTTTTTTTTTTCTTTAAACTTTGAACATGCAAGTAAAGTCGCCATCTTAAACTACGCGCAAAACTGTTAATGCAACGATTAAATGAGATCTGCATTTACGCCACAAGCGATTTCTCCACGCAGACTCGAGTTTTAATCGAAATGCAGAGCTAACGTTACCGTCGTCCGACTGCACCGTAACGTGACTGTCGATCTGACTCGTTACTAAACGCAGCGAACTGTCAAAAATAAAAAAGTCGGCGTATGCCAAACTTAAACGGGCATGCATCACTTACCTTCTTATGAATGTAGTGCCCCTCTCTCGTTGAGGTAAAATAATGTCCATTTGGAGAGATTTCAAAACTCCTCGAGGCGCCTTCCTGCAGCGTGTTGGTTTTAGACGCTTTTCCAGCGACAGGCTCGCGCCCCTCTGTGCTGTCGCCGGCGCGAGGCTGCTCGAGGAGCCGCTTGGAAGTCATTCTCGACCTGGGTCAGTGTGACTAAAGCAAAATCTCCCGCGCTCGGTAGATGTTAGTGCTGAGCGGGATAAGATGCATTTAATAGTATTGTGGATTACGACTCCCTGATGAGACTGTATTTCACTACGGACCCTAAAAGCAGCCGGTAAAAAGGGATAAAAATTATTGTTTTGCTTTTCTCTCTCGCCGAGCCTGACGCCACGCCCACTCTATCCTGCGCGTGCAGCCAGGCGAGATTCGCTCGGCTCCGCCCCTCATTGATTCTGATTGGCCCCCGACGTACATAAACATTCTATTTAGGCACGCGGCCATTGCAGCTCTGCAGCTGATTGGTCGCTCGGGAAACGTCGGAATGATTTTTTTCGAGCGTTTAGGAGGTGTGTCTCGATGGTTTGCCGGCCGGTACAGACAGAGAGAGGAAGAGAAGAAAAACACCGGTAAAAATTGACGCACTTTCTAAAAGGAATAGTTTCTCAGCTTGAATGTCTCTGTACGGCGAAACAAATCATTAAAAAAGAACTTGTGGAACGCATATGAACACAAACATGACTGGGAAATACTTTTAATGAGCATTCATGCGAGCTAACCTGCTGAGGGGAGAAAAAAACATCTCAAACCAGCCTGAACTGGTTTGCTGGTTTTAGTTGGCCTGCCAGTTTTAAAGGGGTTTCAGGCCTTTTCAGCCGGTCAGACTGGGAGATCAGGTAAACCAGCTGAGCAGCAGCTGTCCAGGCCGGGAGACCACCCTAAACCAGCCAAGACCAGCAAAGTCAAGCAAAAAAAATCTTTTTTCAGCATAGTTTTCAAACCCGCCACCCTGTATGCAGTTCTCACATTAAACGTTAATACATCAAGCAAAGAGCTTGACTTTTGATTTGATGCACATTTTGTGGATCTTCTAGAAACGTATGTATTTGTGCAATAGATAATTATTTAATAGCAATTTTCAAAGACTTAATAATGTATTCTTCCACCTTATATACTGATTACTATTAAAGCCTGCTTCCGGCACATAATAGAAAAATCAAACAGCTAATTGAGACTTTTTATCTCACAGCTCTGAGCTTTTTCACACAATTCTAAGTTTATATCTCACAATTGTGAGACAAAAAGTCAGAATTGCGAGATATAAACTCAGAATTTCCCTGGCAATTCTCACATGTTTTCCTCAGTATTCTCAATTGTCTTTTTTTCACAACAAATTAAAAAAGTAAAGTTTTTATCTCACATTTCTCAGTTTAAATGTTGAATTGTGAGATGTAAACTCAGAATTGTAAGATAAAAACAGACGTTATTATTATTATTATTATTCATTTTTCATTCCATGGCTGAAACAGGCTTTTTAAAATCGAATTCTTCAATAAACATTAACATGCATGCTAAATTGCAGTAGAATAATCAACGTACAACCAGTCATAAGGTGCAACTTTATTAAAAAAGTAAAAACAAATATTTATATTAATTTTTTTTATAGAAAACATTACAATCTTTTGCACAGAATGTTACTAAACAGATTTTTTTTTGTCTTTATACACTACACTCTGTTTTACACTTTGGGTGGACCACACATAAACTCAGTTAAGCCAAGGACATATGCTGGGGAAGCAGTGTTACAATGTACACACTTCACAACATACAACCTAAACAGCAGAAGTAGAAACCTTTCATTGCTTTTTAAAACATCGATACCAGGGCTTTTCTTTTATAATATAATTAAGTTGCATTGCAGTATGCTCTATATACATGCGATTTGGTCTGTTTTGTTATGGTAGAATGTCCATTTTTGTTTAACCACATATGGTTGAGTGAACAAGAAGCATCACGTCAGTCGATACGTCTGTTGAATGCAAGCAGATGGATTTTTAATAGATATTTTATTTACATACTTGCCAATAAATATCATACTTCGGGCATGTGATTTCTCTGCCTCCTTTAAGAACATACGTGGTTGAAAAACCAATAAACCCTTGTGCAACCTGTACAAATCACACCCTGAAAGATCTGAAACAATGCATGGCCGGACAATCGGTTCTCCCAACCTCTCTCTGAAACAACAACATCAAAAGCACTGATCCACCCCACAATACAAAGCAAGCCCTGTGCTAGAAGGACAGATTCAGAAGTGGGAGGAACCGCCAAGCCAAAGCTAAAGTGGAGCACACTTCCTCCCTCAGACGTCAAATCTCAAGGACACATGTTAATAACGGCAGGGAGGGCCTACAGTTGCTTTGAGACCAGATCCCTGCCATTTCGGACGAGTCCTGGACCAGATATGTGCTTTGTGCTCCCTGAGAAGATCCATAACCTCTCAGCAGCCGCCGCCTGTGGCGTCTCCACTTCCCATTTGGTGACTGGTATTCCCTATTTTTGGCACTATGTCTTATAGTGAGAGGCACGGGAATGAATTATACATTATATGTGATGCACCAGAGAGGATGAAGAAAAAAACGAGAGCTTTTGTTTTCAGAAGCATGCATTGCGAGCAAGGAAATAGTTGCAGCCTACTTGAACAGAACAGTGGAACACGTGAATGGCAGTGATAGTAGCTTTTTGAACACGTTGCTACAAGTGGAAACGAGTTAACCAATACAGTTTTATAAGAAAATAGAGTGCCATAAAAATCTTTCATCTTGGTATATATTAAAACTGACATGACGAACCCAACGTTTCTCACCAGAGGTTGCATGTGACGTGGATGAGGACAGTATCTTGGTTATTTATCCTTAATGAACTCTATCTATCCATCCCTGAGCTGATAATTTGGCCCTCTCGAAACCCAAAATCCCTTTCCTCTGGGCCTTTCCTGTAGCCCTCCAACAGACTTCAATGATCTGAATATGCTGAGTACACTCGGTGAAGTAAAATCACCAACCATGCATTGGAGTTGTTTTATTTCATGCCGATGGTTCTCGGAAGTCTTCGGGGATCATCTCGAATGGTTTCCGGAAAACAAGAGAAGTTAACTCTGTATGTTTTTTTCAGCTAAACTAACACTGTGATGGTGGCTGGCCGTCTCAAGCTGAGAGAACCAGTCAGGTGTGTTTTCAGAGTGGGAGGGGACAGGGAATAAGCTGACATCTCATGTGCTCCCTGTGTTAATGTGCAGGTAGTGCTCACTCGGCAATGGGACTGACTGACAGTGTGTATATTGTGATTTTACACTAATAATAATCAAGATTTTCTAAATGTCTTTGAAAGGCATTTCTTATGCTTAACAGTTACAGTTAAAACGGTAATATTGTGAATAATTATTAGAATTATACATGTCAGAGATCTGAGGAAAGAGAGAGAGAACCACATAATGAGGAGCCTGCCAAAGATCAGCTTTGCCAAAGTGGATTTCGTAATAATAACCGTCCTGGAGCACATTCTCAAGTTACAGTTATAGTGCTGAAGGAGTTACAAAAAACACACAGATTTCAGAACTTGCAAAGTTAATTTCCACCACCAAATGCTATCTACAACTTGCCTATGCAGTTGCTAGGGTGTTCTGTATGGTTGCTAGGGTGTTCTGTACGGCTGCTGGGCTATTCTTGGTGGTTGCATGGTTGCTAGGGTGTTCTGTATGGTTGCTAGGCTATTCTTGGTGGTTGCATGGTTGCTAGGTTGTTGCTTGTTCTGGATGGATGCCTGATGCTTTATGGTAACTGGGCTATTCTGGGTGGTTTCAACTATGTTTTGAATGGTTGCTAAGGTGTTGTGTAAAAGGTTGCTAATTTATTCTAGGTGGTTGCTTGCATGTTCCAGGTGGTGCCTGGGTGCTGCTGTATGGTTATTAGGGTGTTCTATGTGGTTACTACAGTGTTCTGGATAGTTGCTGCATTGTTCTTGGTGGTTGCTAGGGTATTCTTTGTGGTTGCTAGGGTGTTCTAAGTGGTCGCTAGGTTGTTCTTGGTGGATGCTATGATGTTCTGGGTCATTGCTATGGTTGCTAGGCTGTTATAGGTGGTTGATAGTGTGTTCTGTGTGGCTGCTGGTTGGTTGCTTGCCCCATCTTTATGATATTTGTTTCTAAGTCAAGTCAAGTCACCTTTATTTGTATAGTGCGTGCTTTATACAATATTGATTGTGTCAAAGCATCTTTACAGTGTCAAACAGGAATATAGTTTGTCAATAATGCAAGAAGACAATAACAAAGAGTCATTTTTTCAGCTAAAGTCAGTTCATTGATGATTCAGTGATGTCATCATCCAGTTCAGCTCTCTTCTGATAGTGTCTGTGCACTCAGTCAAGTGTCCCCAACTAAGCAAGCCAAAGGCGACAGTGGCAAGGAACCAAAACTCTATCGGTGACAGAAATGGAGAAAAAACCTTGGGAGAAACCAGACGGAAACCAGCGTCTGTCCAGACGAAACCAGCATGGCATGGTTTCTCTCCATCAATTTAATTCTATGGTATTTTTGTCAGTTTTATCATCAGGTGAAATATGTAAGTTTGATCACTGCACAGCACACTTCTCCTCAACAAGTCCATAATTTGAGGTATCATTAATGACACGCCATAAATGTAATCCTCAGATTTGGTTTGATGGTGGTTTGAGCAACAGTAATAGTCACGACTGACTTAACAAGGTAAAAAGAGACAACAGGACAGATAAAAGTTAACACAACATAACACTCTAATATGCCTGAAGATGTAGCATAAGCACTACACAGACGCCCACAGCGCTGAGTGTTTGACTCGTGTGTCATAGTGTGTGTGGTAACGGGACTCTGCTTGCACACAGCAGAAACATGACCCACTTTAGCCGTGATCGACAGAGCCAGTGTAAACGCTCTTATCTGTTACCTAACCTGCAGATAAGCCTGTTAAACTTTCACCACAGCAGCCCACCGAGACGCTGTTAACCTCTCTAACCAGACAAGAGGTAAATGGGTGGGAAGATTTCCTTCAGTCCTCCTCTAATGTCCATGTGTGGTCTATTACGAGCATGTGATTCAAGAAAACGTCTAACATACACTGATTAGAGGTGTGCGATATTTATCATAAATGTGCGAGCTACACTCTAAAAATGCTGGGTTAAATATAACCCAGTGCTGGGTTAAAAAGGGACAAACCCAGCTATTGGATTGTTTTGACCCAGCGGTTGTCCCTTTGTAACCCAGCACTGGGTTATATTTAACCCAGCATTTTTTAGAGTGTAACATTATCGAGTATGTCACTCACTTTGCAAAACTAAAGCATGTCTTGCGCGTGAACGCAATTGCAAATGTGATTGATTCTGTACAACAAACAAGAAGTTAATATATAGTGAGTTACACTTTACGCACAATAGTGTCTGTTGTTTCACCAATGAAAATAGTTACAAACAAAGCTGTAGCAGGACATTTGTGTGCGTTTCAGAGCAACACTGCACTGTTTAGTTCTTGAATGAATCTGTTTTTGAACAAATCATTTGAGTCAGTGATTTAATGATCCAATTTATAAAGACAGTCACTTGCTTCATTTCTAAATGAATCAGCAATTTTGAACGAATCACTTGAATGAATGAATCACACATTAAGACAGGCGCAGCATTCCTGCTTCCCTACTATATTGTATGCGAAGAACAGTACAGCAAAAGAGTAGTATGTCCAAATTCACAGTATTCATAAAACAGTAGGCAAAAAGTACCCAGATGACCTACTACTTCCAATGTGATTCTGAAGTGCGCATTTGATGGACACTTTACTTTCCAATGAGGCCACGGGAGAGGATTTATGAATGGCTGTGAAGCAATGCAACTGATGCTGGTAGGTCATGTGACAGTAACAACATGACAGCTGTAGTACGTCCAAATTTAATTTATACTGCCCATATTCACACTATATTCAATGCACCTTTTTTAACAGTCGTGAAGTAAGTTCAAATTCAAATGTAGTACCTATTCAGACAATGCACGATATCGGATGAGCACAGGGACTTGTTGCCATCTACTGGCGGTTTTAGTGTCACATATATTTATCCACGACAGGTTTAAACCAGCCAAGGTACCAGCACAAAAACACACTAAAAATATAGTTTAATTATCGTTATTGAAAAAAATTCCAATTGACTTTTTTTTGGTCAGTATTGCACACCCCTAAAACGGATGTTTATATATATGTGTGTGTGTGTGTGTGTGTACAGGTATATATGGTTTATGAGGACACAAATGTGTATAATGACATGGGTACTACAACGTAAACATGGTTTATGAGGACACTTCCTGTGTCCCTGTAAAACAAAAGGCTTAAAAAACATACAAAACAGTGTTTTATAAAATTCAAAAATTGGCAGCAGTTTCCTGTGAGGGGTAGGTTTAGGGGTAGGGTTGGTGTAGGGCAGGGCAGGGGTGGCGAACGTCGGTCCTGGAGAGCCACAGCCCTGCAGAGTTTTGCTTCAACCCTAATCAAACACACCTGAACAAGCTAATCCAGGTCTGAAGGGTTACTAGAAAGCTACAGGCAGGTGAGTTTTAATTAGGGTTGGAGCTGTACTCTGCAGGGCTGCGGCTCTCCAGGACCGGAGTTCGCCACCACTGGTGTAGGGCAATAGAAAATACAGTTTGTACAGTATAAAAACCATTACGCCTATGGAGAGTCCCCATAAACCACAAATACAAGTATGTGTGTGTGTGAGAGTGTGTGTGTGTGTGTTCACCTCACATGCCCTCTCTGTGGCGGATGACATTTAGCACTCCCAGCTCAATGGCATGTGTAAAATCCCAGTCAAGAATTCAACTCTGCTCTCCAACTCACATAGTGACCTTTACAGCATTCATGTGTACAGGCTGAGGAGATGGTATGGCATGAATAGAGCTGCGGATACGATTGTGTTTGTCATGTTAAAACCTCTAAACGGTCTGGAAAACAACACTGCAGCGTTCAGTATTTTAGCCCGTAGTGTAATCTGCAGGCCGCGGCACGACGCAGCATGCATCTGAACGCAGGCATGACTGAACCAGGCGATTTCAAGAAAACCGCTGAGTTTCATGTTGTTTGAAACTCCCAAATGTGTGTGTGTGTGTCTATGTGCCCCGCTGATCTCTTCTCCTCCGTGTCGAGCATTGTTTACCGTGCTGTGCAGCACTTTGCAGAGCGAGAGGAAATCACAATGACGGGGGTTTCAAAACTCTCTGCAGCTGTTGAGAAAGCCTTGAGAGGTTTTTTTCCTTCCTCTTGCTCTCTCACTCTTTTTCTTTCCCCTTCATATTGCTCTGTCTTTCTCTTTCCCTTGCAATCTCCCCCCCACTCACACACACATACTTTTCTACTCATTTCTCTTCTTACAAATGCATTCTTCTGAGGCAACTCAATCTTACTTGACTTGCAGCATGCATGCATACACAGGTGTGTTTGCACTTGGACACAAAAGCAGTGGGAATTGTACCATTTGGAGATTTTTTAATTAAGATTATATTAGGTAATTACAATAGATAGAAAATTATTTTAACTGGAAATTAATAATTGCAGGTAATGCTTTTTAAGAATGAATTTGGTCACAATGCACAACCCTTGAAATTAACTGCAAAAATGCTTTAAAAAAATTCTAATTTTTTTTTTAAAAAGTCCAATGATTTTCCCATGTTGAGTATAATGTGTCAAGTGAAGTGGAGCAGAGGGCCATGCAGTGTCACGCCCACACACCACATGACATGAAACTGGGTGTGTCTGGACAAGAGAAGGAATGAGCAGAGAAGTGAAAGTATCTTCTGAGTGTATCTTGATTTAAGATTGCTTTTCCTTACGTTACAATTTTTTCTTGTTTTAACCAATTACATTTAGTGAGCTTTATACTTAAAACAACAAAATTATTGAAACTTTATTTGACATAAGTTTAAAGAAAGAAAGAAGTATTAAAAAATATTAAGCAGCACAACTGCTTTCAACATTGATAACAACAATAAATGTTTCTTGAGAAACAAATCAGCATATCAGAATTATTTCTGAAGGATCATGTGACACTGAAGACTGGAGTAATGATGCTGAAAATTCAGCTTTGCATCACAGGAATAAATTACATTTTAAATATATTCAAAAATATATATTTAAAACCTCTGGGTTTTAGAGGTCAAATGTCAAAGTCTGAAATCAGCTAAACCTGTATTAAGGACTGTAAAAAGATGGACTAATGAAGCAGAGCAGGATTTACAAGCTTGTTTTGACCTCACTGATTGGAGTGTTTTTGAAGCTGCTGGCACCGATCTGGATGAGCTCACAGAGACTGCAACATCTTATATCAGTTTCTGTGAAGATATGTGCATTCCTACCAGGACTCATTTAACCTACAACAACGACAAACCATGGTTCACTGCAAAACTTAGACAGCTCCGTCAGGCCAAAGAAGATGCTTACAGGAAGGGGAACAATGTCTTGTATAAACAGGCTAAATACACACTGGAAAAGGAGATCAGAGTGGCAAAGAGGAATTATTCTGAAAAAATAAGGATTCAATTATCTTCCAGTGACTCAGCATCAGTGTGAAAAAGTCTGAAAGAGATCACCAGAGACATTTGACTCTCCGCAAACATGTCTACCGTTGCAGTCCCCATACATCCTCCATATCGTCTGCCGCCTTTCGCGTGGTAGAGTCTAATCTCTCTGCGACACCCTGCCTGATTGAATCGGCCTGGTAGATATACTGCCTGGATAGAAAGCACGTTGGTCTGAGCTCAGACAAGCAATTTGCAAGCCACCTGAAGTGCACTCCAAGATCTTGTACCTCCTTGATGATTGATATAAATATCAATCATTCTGTTGTCTGTGCGCAACAGAACATGTTTTTCCCTGAGAACAGTCTGTACAGATTGTGTCAAAGCAACTGTACAGCATTAATTAGGATAATATTGTGTCAGTAATGCAAAATGATAATAGTACACTAAATTTTCAGTTAAAGGCAGTTCATCATTGAATTCAGTGATGTCATCATCCAGCTCAGTTCAGTTTAAATAGTATCTGTGCAATCAAGTCGACAATATCGCTGGAAATTAAGTGTCCCCAACTAAGGAGAGTTGAAACCCCTCTGCACTCCCCCCACTCACCATCATGGACAGCACTGTGACTGCAGTGGAGTCATTCAGGTTCCTGGGCACCAAAATCTCTCAGGACCTGAAGTGTGACACTCACATTGACTCCATTGTGAAAAAGGCCCAGCAGAGGTTGTACTTCCTTCGCCAGCTGAGGAAGTTCAACCTGCCACAGGAGCTGCTGAAACAGTTCTACTCCGCCATTATTGAATCTGTCCTCTGCACTTCAATAACTGTCTGGTTCAGCTCAGCTACCAAGTCTGACCTCAGAAGACTTCAGAGGGTAGTCCGGACTGCTGAGCGAATCATTGGTACAATCCTCCCTTCTCTCCAAGAACTGTACTCGTCCAGAGTGAGCAAAAGGGCTGGCAGAATCACTCTGGACCCCTCACATCCAGCACACTCCCTCTTTGAACTGTTGCCATCTGGTCGACGCTACAGAGCTCTGAGCACCAGAACAACCAGACACAGGAACAGTTTCTTCCCTCAGGCCATCCATCTCATGAACACTTGACAATAACCGTGGAACACACATTATTTATTCACTCATACACTTATTTATCTAACACACATACTCAAGTCTACATTTCAATTTGCACATAATATACCTGTTCATACAACTGTCTATAGTTATATACCTGTACATACAATTGTCAATTTGTATATTTTTATTCCTTATTTACTTGTTCTATTTTTTTATTTTATATTATCTGTGTTTTTTGTTCTGTCACTGTCATTCTGTTACACTGTGGAAGCTTCTGTCACGAAAACAAATTCCACGTATGTGTAAACATACCTGGCAATAAAGCTCATTCTGATTCTGATTCTGATTCTGAAAAAGAAAACTGTTCTTTTAAATTGTAATAATATTTCACAATTTTGCAGTATTTTTGATCAAATAAATGCAGCTTTGCTGAGCATAAGAAACATTAAATATATTTTTAAAAATGGACTCCAAACTATTAGTCTATTATTAATCTTAAAGTATGATCTTACACAATTTAGCTTTTCTATTAAATCTTGATGACATTTAGGGTATTTTAACTAAAAAGGAGACAACATTGATTAAGAAAACGTTTTTTTGCAGTAATAATGGTGCATTATTAGAATCTGTATGTATTCTTCAAACATCTACACAAGGCATCTTTGCTGTAAATGCTTTTATCTGAAACCAAGTTGTAAGTTTTGATCGGCCACAGGAAGTTGATTAAACACAAGTTTACCCAGAGTGCCTGTCTGTCCCGACCTCTCCTCACTTCTCATATTCCTTCCCTCACACCAACCCTGAACTGACAGTCAACAAGCACAGTCCACAGACCTTTGACCTGCCTGTTAGTCATGCCATACCAAGCCAGCCATAGAGAGAGAGAGAGAGAGCAGGAAGAGAGTCGAGAGGTGGAGGGAGAAAAGAAGGATCAAACTTTCTCTCTCACTCTCAAGCCACAATTTATCAGACTCCAGCCATCATTCCACTCACTTCCACACTCTTTATTGATGCACAAGGGTCAGACCAAAGAGATCCGAAATGGTCCTGGGTTTTAGAGGTCAAATGTCAAAGTGTGAAACCTGATCCATTCATGTAAACCTGGACAAATGTCATGACCCCATCTGCAGTGCTGGGATAGCGAGGCAGACGTTACCTCGACGGCGGTGGGATGGCTGTGTCCGTTCTCCAGCTGAGGGACCACTGGCATGATCATCTCTTCCTCTTCTGGTGGTTTCCAAATGTACTGCTCTCCGTTACCCATGAAGACCGCCTCCTGTTGGACACATGAGGAACATGCGAGCTGGTCAGAACTCCTCAAGCACTGTTAATGCAAACAGACTGAATCTCATGTCGTTTGAATTCAAGCGCTCCATGTTTGTGAGTTCATGAGAGAAGCAGCAACATCCGTTTTGTGAACGAATAATTTTTTTTTGTGTCAGGTATTTCAATGAATCAGCAACTCTTGTTTGTGATAACACTCTGAATCATTCATCACCAATCAGACTGATTCGATTCTACAACCTGATCGATTAAACAATCCATTTGAAGAGATTAAAGGAATGGTTCACCCAAAAATGAAAATGTACTCATCCAGTTTGTTTTTCGTGAGAAAATATTTGGAGAAATGTAGCATTACATCACATGTTCACCAATGGATCCTCTGCGGTGAATGGGTGCCGTCAGAATGAGAGTCCAAACAGCTGATAAAAACATCACAGTAATTCACATGGCACCAGTTCATCGGTTAACGTCTTGTGAAGTGAAAAGCTGTGTGTTTGTAGGAAACAAATTCAGGAAGTGTTATTATGGATAGAGGTATTTTGTCCAAAAGTGAAGGTTTAATGTTAAATCATGTTAATGATTGATTTGTTTCTTACAAACATGCAACTTCTCACTTCACAAGATGTTAATTAATGGACTGAAGTCATGTGGATTACTTGTGGATTATTGTGATGTTTTTTATCAGCTAGTTTGACTCTGATTCTGACGGCACCCATTTAGAGTGAATAAACTTATATCAAAATTTCATTTTCGAGTGAACTATTCATTCAACAGCTGGGTTATTATTGTTAACTAAGACCAAAACATTTTTGGTAACTGAAATAAATCTGAACTAAAATAAAGTATGAACATTAGATGAAAAACTTTAAAGGAAAATGAAAAATGTTGCCTTGGCAACAAAGTAAAATAAGTTTAAGTTGAAGCACTAAAATGACTGAAATAAAAAATTAAAATAAATTAAACCGAAATAGTATAAAACAATAATAAAGATTAAATTATTTAAAAAACTGTAATTAAAATGAACTCTGAAAATATAAAATAAAAGCCGAATATTAATAAAAACTATAAAAGTGTATACAAAAATATAAAATAATGACATAAATTTTGGTCTTTTTCTGTCAGAGAAAGCTATTATATGACCTCAGAAGACTTGGAATTTTCAGCAAAAAAATGTATGAACCACTTTTGTGATTTTTTTATTGTTGTCATTTTGGAGCTCAACACCACCAGTCCTCGTTCATTTTCATTAAAAAAATAAAACGGTGGCCAGTGCATTCTTCAAAAGTTCACTATTTGTGTCTCACAGAACAACGAAAGAAAGTCATGCTGGTCTGGAATGACATGAACAGTTCCTTTAATTTAGGATTGGTGTTTGTTTCAACAATGGAAATGTTCTGTGAGTTAATCATTACAGGAACAGATATGCACGCCGAATAGAGAGTCAATGATTAAAGTGGGAAAGAAACACACCTCCTGTATAAAAGATTAATACCAGCAGATGAATGGCTTACAATGTTTGCTGCTATTTATTTCCCTGGCTGAAGCAACTACCTGCTCTGTGGTTCCTCCCAGATGCCTTTAACAAAAAAAACAAACAAAAAAAAAACATGGTGGGGCAGGCAGCCTGCCAAAAGACCTTACTTAATCCAGCCCAGTGCACTGGAGTGACACATGTGCCGCACAACCACACTGCATGCTTGCTTTCATGTAAACTCTAATAATATTTGCTCTAGATGCAGGCTCGGATATAATGCAAGTCAAAGACACACACACACACACACACACACACACACACACACACACATACTATCCTTGTGGGGACTCTCCATAGGTGTAATGGTTTTTATACTGTACAAACCGTATACTCTATCACCCTACACCTAAACCTACCCCTTACAGAAAACTTTCTGCATTTTTACATTCTCAAAAAAACTCATTCTGTATGAATTATAAGCTTGTTTCCCCATGGGGACCTCAACTTAGGTCCCCACGGTGACACGAGTACCCATGAGTTGGTGTGTACTCAGGTTTAAGTCCCCACCGGGATAGAAAAAAAAGTACACACACACACACACACACACACACACACACACACACCAATATTGTTTAGCCTTGCTTAAACATCAAATGGCACACTGTAAGTCAGATTTAGAAAGACAAGTATGCACTGAATACAATACCGTGCCTGTGTAAACAAGCCATCAATCAACAAACCTCTGACAAAGAAGATTTTTATCTCCATATGTGGCAAACAAATAGCACAAACACACACATAAAGACAAGTAGAGCAGAGCTGAGTTAACAGGAAGACTGGATCATTATCCGATCATTGTCTGTGTGTTTTCCATTTTTAAGGCACCATCATTCCGCATGGCTGTTCTGTTCTCTGCAAAACTTATCTGTCCTTGAAAGCCGAACACAACATAAACAGGTATCAGTTAACAGATGGACACGAATATGGGTGAAATGTGAACAAACACACACACACACACACACACAAAGTAACAATGCATCAATTCAGTTCATTTTTAATACTACGTCAACAGAATGTTTTCTCATTTTAAATTCATTTTACTCTGGGCAAGTCAACATTTTAACACTCGCTAATGTTCATTTCTTGAACCCCTTTTAATTAAAAACATTTAACATCTAAAACTCTAAAAGATGTATCATGTAAATGTCATCAGTCATATTCATATCAGTCATAAAGGTTTTAGAAAATGCTTCAGATTGGTGGATCTAGGGGATTTTTCTTATAGGAAACAGCACTCTCTAGTGGTCAAAACGTATAACTGCACTACCAGGCTCTGCATTTAAGTGCTTAATATTTACATTAGTGCAAATGGCAGACAATTATAACTCTTTTTCTCTCACTTCTTATTTTTTCTTCTTCTATTGCCTGCAACAACAACATTAGCTTTTCTCAAGAAAATGCGAGTGGTGTGAAACAAGTCATGGCCTAATGGTTAAAGAGTCGGACTTGTAACCCAAAGGTTGTGGGTTCGAGTCTCGTACCAGCAGGGATTGTAGGTGGGGGGGGAGTGAATGTACAGTGCTCTCTCCCACCTTCAATACCATGACTGAGGTGCCCTTGAGCAAGGCACTGAACCCCCAACTGCTCCCTGGGTGCTGCAGCATAAATGGCTGCCCACTGCTCTCGGTGTGTGTGTGTGTGCACTTTGGATGGGTTAAATGCAGAGCACTAATTTCAAGTATGAGTCGCCACATGCTGTGTCACACTTCACACCTACCATAATGATGCTGGAGTGTTCTAAGCTGTTGCCATGGCATTGGTATCTGTTCTGAGTGTTTAGTGCCTTACTTTTTTGTTGCTGGGGTGTTCTGGGTGGTTGCTAGGACGTTGCTATGTGGCTGTTAAGTTGTTCTGAGTGTTTAGTGCATTTTTTACTACATTGGTGTAGTTGCTAGCTAGGGTGTTTTAGGTGGTTACTTGAAAGAGTCTACATGACATTCTGTTCTCCAGGCATATATATCCAACCTGTTCTGTAAGGTTTCTGTGAGATTTTTTTGCCCATTTTTGCCGCTGCAGGATGAGTTATGAGCTGAGTTTTTTTTTCTGAACCTGTGTAGCTGATCTGTGTCATATTCACCTTTGGGAACTTGGGTAGGTGAAATGGTTCCACTGTTTTCCTAGGCAAGGTGCTGCTGGAGGACTCGCTGCTGGACACGCTCTGGTGCTCCCTTTCTCCATCCTCCACCACTTCCTCCCTCCTGCCGCGCTCCAGCTTCTTCACCTTCCGTATGGAGGCGTACTCTGCCGTCACTTCGTCTTGACTCACGCCGTTCACACCTCCTCTGCTTCCAACTCGGCCGTTCCCATTGAGCGTCGGGCTGTGGGCACGGCGCTGAGTGGGCGTGTTGGTTGACGTCGGGGCAGGGGCAGCAGGTGGGGCAGCTTTATCAGGCCCTGCCCCTTTGATCCCAACACTCTCATACAGGCCGTCATCTGGCGGGAGAGATGTGGGAGAGGAGCGGCGGCAAACTTCAGAGTAGGTGTGCTCACGTTCCTCATTCTCATTTTTGTTGGGAGCACGAGGCAGCTGGCGGCCTGGGCTGAGACGGAGGTCAGAAGTGGAGCGGCGGGTATGCAGGAGCAGAAGGTCCATGCTGGCCGGCCGGCTCTTAGGGGCACCTGTCAATCAGAATAACACAGATTAATGTGAGAGGGATGGGAAAGATTAAACAGAGGATTAAGATTAAAGTTTGGAATATTGATGTCATATTGGATAAAATACTGAACACCTATATAGTATTAAGGGCCAATAAAGTACAAAGTGTCATTAAAAATGTCACATTTGACATTACTCCATGAAACACAAGGGGGCAGACCATTACTATTTGGAATGTGTATTTTGACCACACAATCACAATCTTACATATGTTTAAACCTGCATAGAGACAGTACAATGAGTTTAAAGTCAACATGAAACTACACTGGCAACAAAAAATGTGAATCTTGTTTTCTAAACTACATATCAGATGATACTCCCAAAGCTAAAAATGGTCAAATTAAACATTTAGCCTACCTTTCCAGTTTAGCCTAGCCCAGTTAGCAAGCTTATTGTTTAGCTAACTAGCTTAACATACCTCTACCGATCTTGTATGACACTGGCACTATTCGTTCCCAGCTAACAATGAACATTCTCACAACTTTCAATAAGTTATATAACATTTAGGACAAAACATTCTTAAAGTAATGTTTATGGAACATTGTTATTATTTTATGAATATTTTATATACGGTCTCACAACGTTGAGAGAAAACGTTCTTGCGATGTTATTTTTACTTGGTGAATGTTCTTACAACGCTGATTAGAATATTACAAATAATGCAAAAAATATGCTATATTTTGAAAATAATATTAGTAGAAAGTTGTAAGTAACTTATAAATAATGTTCTAATCAAGACAAGAAAATTTTATATTTTAATGTTCTTAAGAAATTCAAAATGAATGTTCAGATAACGTTATATCTTTGGTGAAAATATAGAATCTTTAAATAAAGTTCTACTCACGACAAGGAAACTGGACATTTACATTCTTAGAAAATTAATACATTTTTAAATAACGTTATAATTGTGACAAGAAAACTGGACGTAATTTTCCAAACATTTCAAAACAACGTTCCTACAATTTGTAACCTGGGTTGAAACTTGTGGTCTTGGTAACATCCGCAGAAAGTCATTTCACAGTCGAAGCAATATATTCATATTTCTTGGAATAATGTGGACTGATAATTTGTGGATGTTATGACCAGGAGCATGTATTACAAAAGTAAATAGAGTAAACCTTGATTTCATGTTGACCGAATTGGGAATTGTTATCCTTCTAATTGTGTATTTTGTGTTTTACACACTAAATAAAGTGAGTCTCCATTGGTCTGGATTTAAAAGATCAGAAGCCGACGTATATAAGGCTTTGAGGTGTGTGTGTGTTCTGTGTGTCAGCTTGACAACTGTCCTTCTCAGCATCGCAGATCACACGTCTGTGGCAGTGGGAACATGAGCTAGTAAACATCTTGCCATGACAAGTCTCTGAGACGTCAGCCTTTGCACGCACGTGCGTCGGCCAGTGCATATGTGCGTATGTGTGTGCTAAATGAGTCTTGTGTACATATATCATTAAGACCAGTTAAATCTGTCTGTCTCTCTCACCGTTTGCATTGCAGCGCAGCCTGTGCATGTCATGCAGGCGGGTGTCAGATTTACTCATCGAGTTCAGCTTGGACTGGCGCAGAGCAGCCTGAAATTCAAAACATTATCATGTATATGTACGTACATCCATGTCCAATATTGCACTGTGTTTATATGTGTTCATATACAGTATACTTTTTTTGCACTCACTGTTTCCTTTTTCTGAGCCCCTCCGTTGGTGTGGCCATGTTTGCTCTTGCTTTTTCTGTAGACAAAGTGAGAGACACTTTTTGTGAAATACAGCAAACAAGTAAAGGGCTGAAACATCCCATAAGTAAATAGTTAGCTCTGTTCCAAAGCTACCTACTTAGTATTTAAGGCAACCTTTAGATGCAAATGCTGTTGTCTGGCAGTTAAACAATATTATGCTGCCTTCTAAGATACCTTGTTTTGACCAAATTATAAGCACAGCACTATATGAAAAAGTTCATTCAAGATTGAGGGCAAATCTAGAGCAAAAATCATTATAAATATATTTCATTTAACAATGGAAAGTATAAATAAATATAACCAAATATTTGTGTCTGCTATTTAATTTGTGCTAGATTTTCATATTAGATTAACACACTAACGTGAAACTATAGAACACAACAGTGACTGTTGACTTTTTTTTTGCAGGCTTAGCTCCAGTGTTTTCCCCATTCATTTTTACTATAAGCATTAAAAAAAATCTTCAATACTTGTAAGTATTACATTGCCATAAAATCATTTAAAAAATGATGAATAATGAAAATAAGCATTTTTATATTTTTTTTTATTTAAAAATTGTGTGTAACACTGTTGTTCAAAAGTTTGGATTCAGCCAGTTTTTTTTTTCCTCTGAAGAAATGTATACTTTTATTCAGCGAGGATGCATTAATTTGATCAAAAGTGACAGTAAAGACAAAAATTTTACTTTTTTAAATAAATGCTGTTCTTTTGAAAGAATCATGAAATAATGCATCATAGTTTCCACAATAATATTAAGCTACACAATTGTTGATAATAATAAGAAGAAATCTTTCCTGAGCAGCAAATTGGCAAATTCAGCTTTGCATCACAGAAATAAATTACATTTTAAAATATATTCAATATATTCAAACTGTAATAATATTTGACAGTATTACTGTTTTTACTGTATTTTTGATCAAACAAATGGTTTCCAAAAACATTTTAAAAAATCTTACAGTAAAAACAAATAGAGAGACTAACTTAATTATGTAATTTGCCTATTTATTTCTCTTCATAGAATTGGTCATTTGCTGTTGAGCTCTTTTGCCGCGATTTTCATTCCATATCAACAGCGACTATTTTAATTGGCACCGCTTCCTTAAGATTATGGGTAATGTAGTTCTTCAACTTGAATTCTGCATCTAAACACTTAAAAAAGAAGTGAAATTACATTTGACTTGTAGCTTTTACAGAAGCCAATATCATCACTTTTATGATTTATCAAAAGAGATTTCCCCATTCATTATGGAGGAAAATGAAAGCGAACAGTGGAAACCCGACTGTTGCGCTCTATACTAGAATCATCTGTAAGTGACTCAAGAATGCAGTGTTCCAAATCAGTCACCGATGAGATTACATTCTGTTTAGAATGCTGCCTTAGAAAGCTGCAGCCTTTGCAGACACTAGACATGCAGCTCTGGGTTTTGTACCAGAGCTATTGTGCACTGTTGAATAGGACAGGAAGTAAAATTCCACTACAGCGAGTGTTTGTAATGGGATTGCCAGGGTCTGGTTATATCTAGGGATGTCGTAATCATGAGGGACTAGATGTGTTGCAGGTGTGCTGGAGGAAGAGAGAGCGAGAGGATGGATAGGTAACCCTGACGATCCCTCCTCCCTTGCTTTTCTTCTCCTCTCATTCCCTACACACACCTGGTGTGACATCAATTATAGCTTCTCTCTCCTCCAATCCTGCAGCCTGTGAAATACACACATTTTTTTTCACACACACCTCTTTTTGTTCCTCTCACTCTCACCCCATTTTTAACATCCGCACATCTCTCACACTTACGCCAATCTGTGAAACAGAGGATTCTCTCTCTCTCTCTCTTACTCCCTGAAGACATTTTTGTATGGATGAATAGATAACAAGACATTAAAAGTAGAATTAAGTAGAAAAAAGTAATATGGCATAATGGCAGTGTCTCCTGCTTGTTTGTGAAGGCTGTATCGTTCTGAAGGTCAGAAACTCAGGAGGCCGGAGGGACACGTTCGCACCTGGGTATTAGTGACCCTGTGTCTACACACATGACTTGCAGAAAGCACTGTACATACTGCAAAACCCCGCACAGCAAAATAACAGCTGCACCTGGCTACTGAGTATGCAGTCATGAATGCAGCATTAGCATAGCCATGTTTTAAAGGAATATTCCAGGTTCAGTTAAACGCAGTTACAGTAATCTACAAGTAATCCACACGACTCCAGTCCATCAGTAAACGTCTTGTGAAGCGAAAAGCTGAATAACAAATCCGTCTTGAAGACGTTTTTAACGTTTTTAAAATATGCACAGATCAAGCACAATTTATATGTGAAAACAGTCAAAAACTTTTATTAAAATGGTTAAAGTTAAAATGGCTTAATGATGGATTTGTTTCTTAAGAAGCTTCACTTCACAAGATGTTAATTGATGAACTGGAGTGGTCTGGATTACTTGTGGATTATTGTGATGTTTTTATCAGCTGTTTGGTCTCTCATTCTGACGGCACCCATTCACTGCAGAGCATCCATTGCTGAGCAAGTGATGCAATGCTACATTTCTCCAAATCTGTTCTCGTGAAGAAACACATTCATCTACATCCAGATGGCCAGAGGGTGAGTGAATTTTCAGCAAATTTTCATTTTTGGCTGAGCTATTCCTCTAAGGTTAATAAGTGATTTAATAAAATCACGTTAACACATATTATGTCTTGTGGCTATACAGCTGAAACACACAGTATTTTAATGTTTACAGATTGGCCCCATTCACTTAAATTTTAAGTACCCTCACTAGTTTAGATTTTTGCTTTTTTAAAGAAAAGGAAAGACAAATAATTTTTGTAGTAATTAACATCATGCCACAAATTATGGCAATTGAACTTGTACTGAACCCAGAAAATGGAAAATTCTCAGTTATTTCATGATGAATCCATAATGATGAATAAAAGTCCAGTCAAATTTTCTGAAAAAGTGTTATTTTAGTATCATTTGTATAATATTATAGTATTTATTCATATTTGAATTAGCTTTTATTTTATATTTTCAGTTTTCATTTTAATTGTAGTCATTTTATTATGTGCTTTTGTCATTAATATTTTGTAAATATCAATACAGCTCTAATAATTATAATAATAATTATAATTTTCTAAAATATAATAATTTTCTAATTTTCATTTTTAAGTATTTTTTAGGTTTTAGTTTTCCACCTATTTTTTATGTTTTATTTATGTTTATGTAAGCTTTATTTCAATTAAAAAATTATTTTGAATAGTTTTAGTAACAAGTAACAAGTCATACAATGTCATAAAGTGACACTTTGTGTGAGAAAAGGGATAAAAAATGTCAATTAATTGCTAAAAATCTTTCTATTCACCACAGCTCACAAATCTCTATTGCACTTTCAACCTGGCATTAGACAGAAACATGCAGAAACAATGGCATTTGGTGTCATTGACAGTGTTGAGATTTAAAGGGGTCATATGATGTTGCTAAAAAGAACATTATGTTGTGTATTTGGTGTAATGAAATGTGTTTATGTGGTTTAAGGTTCAAAAAACACATTATTTTCCACATACTGTACATTATTGTTTCTCCTCTATGCCCTGCCTTTCTGAAACGCGTCGATTTTTACAAAGCTCATCGGTCTGAAAGCCAGCTATCCAGTGCGTTGTGATTGGCCGAATACCTCAAGCATGACGGAAATGTTACGCCCCTACCATACTGTGGATGCCCTGTCCGGCCGGAGCAACGAGACAAAACCATTTAAACTCATTATAAACGAGGCATTTGTTGCATCCAGTGGGGACATAATTACGGATTATAATGACTTATACTGTCTTTTAACGCGTTGCGTTGCATCGCGTTGCGTATACATAAAACCATGTCTGCATTTGTGATCGGAGAAATGACAAACAACAAGCGCTACTCTACACTGCTCAAAACTCACGTTTGAATCATCAGTGGTAAATTCTTTAAATATGAAAACGTACTTACAGTCTGTGAGTCAGAACAGCCGGCATTGTAGTCTACTCTACCAGGATCAAGAAACAGTCCTCCATAAAATGCGCTGCACACATCTGAATATTTGGGTTGAACTGTTCTGGAACAGTGTTATAAATACAACTTAACCACTGATTTCTAGTTGTGTCCTCTTATGGAAGGCCAAACAAAGTATTTTCGCTTTAGCAACAAAACACACAGCGTCTTCACGACATGGCGGCGGCAGCAACAATACTACAGCAAGAATAAAAGTTACGCCTTCTTTCTTTGCGTGAACATTTGGGTGGCGTTATGCAAATCTACCCGCACAGTGACGTAGACATGTGGGGGCATATTTAAATGAGGCGTTTTAGGAGGGTGTGGACAAGTCTTAACTTTTATTAAGAATATTTCTTTGGGTTTGAGACTTTAGTCTTTGCTTATAACACTCCAAAGAGAAAGGAAAACCTGAAATCGCATCATATGACCCCTTTAAGAGCTGCAGCACGGGGAACTTCATAGCTATCATATGACTTCAGAAGACGTAGAATATAACAAATGAGCAGTATCTTTTATGGTGTTTTTTTTCTTTTGCATTGAAAATAGCAGCATGAACATTTTTCAAAGTATCTCCTTTTATGTTCCACAGAAGAACATTAGTTTGGAATACATGAGAGTGAGTGCATTTTCATTTTCTGCAATGGAAATGAGACGGAACATTTTCATTCTGAAACAAGGGTTTTACTCAATCATAATTTGTGTATCTCAGAACAATGAGCTCAGTGTGTGTTTTTCATTAGGCATCTGGTGATTTTGCAGCAATGCCAACTGCTCTCTGAGCACTAAATATCACTCGTATTTACTGTACCTCTATTTTAACCATTAGAATAACACTAAAACACAAACACGCTTGGCTTCTGTACAACAATTTTGTACAACAATTCAGAGCAAGTTGTTTTGCAGTACAGCAAATACATGACTTTCTGGTGAATATGCAAAAATGAGTATAGTCCCTATTCATCTTTTCTGTGAAACGTTACATAGAACAGAAATAGAACAATGCCTGAGAGAATGTGAAACTGATTTGTTGGAGGGTTTCGTTCCTTGTAATATCTCAAAGCAAAAGTCTTTGTCACAAATGAGCATCCGACGCAGAGCTTAACTTAAGACATTTCCCTGCAAAATGGCTCCTACAGAGGGCATGCAATCTGCTGAAGGAGTGATATTAGCATTCATCAAGTCGCTCCACAGCAGGGACGGAGAGATAGAGACAGAAAGAGAGACAGAACTAAAGAAAAAGAGGAGGAGGTGCCCTGACACAAGAGTGGGGGAGAGTTTTTAAGAAGCTGACTAATTCTTTCGACATATGAGTGGGGCAGAAACTATGCTCTGAATCTATGTGCAAACGTTTAAACGTTCAAAGTGTCAGATATGGATAGGAACCGTAAAGAATTAACGATTCTGGTTTTGATTCTGATTGCTCTTAACGATTCTGGTTCCTCAACAATTCAATTAACGATTCTTTCAGTATCAGGAAGAGCATGTTGGAAATGAGAAATTCAGTTCATATTGCTGTTGCTGCCCTCAGCAGTTCCCACATGATGAGATCATTTCAGATTTGAAAGATCTAACAAATCTGAATGAAATTGAATCCAAGTTTTGCAAAAGGTATGTTTACGCTGACTTTTTGATGCAACACATAATTAAGCAATCATAATTAAGCTTAAATAAGCAAATTAAGCATCACTCTAAAAAAATGCTGGGTTGTTTCATCCCAACTTTGGGTCAAATATGGACTAACCCAACTTTTGGGTTAAAAATGTAATGTAAAAATCTAACCCAACGGTTGGGTTAGTCCATATTCGACCCAAAGTTGGGTTATAATAACAGTAAATTATGCATAATGACATGCAGCTAACTCTAACCCTAAACCAAACCCTAACCCTACAGTAAGTACATGTTATTAATTAATATTCCTCAGTACATAATTGCATAACTATTAGAAGCACACAAAATAAAGTGTAACCTTTAAAAAAAAAGGGATATGATGAATAACTGATTCTCAGCCCTAGCATTATTGGTAAAAGCTGTTTGCAGTCTGTGTGTGTGTGTGTGTGTGTGGTCACTTACCTCTGACACCCCACACACACCAAGACGATAAGAATGGTGACCACAAAGGCAGAGGCGGCGGCGATGGCCCCCAGTATCAGCACCTTTGGGAGATCTGAATACATTCCACTGAGCTGCAGACACACACACACACACAGGTCCTGCTGTACGGCTCGTCCAGGGCACCTACACACACAGATAACACAAACATGATCAGATCACAAGTTATGACTAGGCCCACAGCGCAGAGAACTGATTTAACAATAAATAAATGACAGCAAAGAGGAAGTGGATAAGTAAATAAGTTATACAGGTTCTGAATTATGCTAATAATTATTGACTCTTAAGATGCACTATGCAGTTTGAATGAAATGATCAATTAAAGAGGGTTAAGGCATGACAAGATGTTTCATATCAATATTTAGAGGAAACTTTTTGAGCAAGAAACTACTTTTTTTGACATATTACCAATGGACTGGCAACCAAATGAATGAATATATAAAAGTGCCTCACATAATGTGAAACTGTTAAATGAAAATTCACATTTACAAATAAACATTTAACATATAAACAAGGCAGGTTTTGTTGCTTTAGAAGTTTATGGTTTGGAGCAAGAATTAATTATTCATGTTTAGTCTATTTTAGCTTTGTATTCATTCATTTTCAAGTGCTTATACTTTGACCAATATACCTACAGCAAGAAGCAACCCTGTAGAAAAAAACAGCATATGCTGGTTAGGTATGTTTTGACGTTGGGATGCTGGTTTATGCTGGTCCTTTGCTGGTTTAAGCTGGTCCTTTGCTGGTTTATGCTGGTCCTTTTGCTGGTTTATGCTGGTCATAACCAGCATATGCTGTTTTTTTTAACAGGGAAAGTGAGCTTAAAGAAAGAATTTTGTTTTAAAACCAGTATTCTCACTCAAATTCAAATGTTTTTTAAAAGCAGCCTACCTCTGCCAGTTGCTTGTAACGCTAGCTAAAAGTGTCTCAAATCACCTGCGCTCTGTCATACTGCCTGCACAGATGAGTGACAGTCATGGCTGGCGTTTAATCTCCCTCTGTGTACAGTAATGCCTGGGATTAAATCTGCAGTTCAATATTACAGCTGAGGGGAAAATATGAAGACTAGCTACAAGCAAAGCTAAGCTAACCATGGCTAAGCTAAAGTCTCAGTCAACATTCAGTCATAAAGATAGATACATGTACGAATACAAGTCACTGTGGTATCTATGTCTCTCTCCTTCAGTTATGCTATTACCATGATTTTTGAACATCTACTATGGTATTCTTTGAAGTACCATGAAAATTCCACAGTACATGAACATGAATGTTCAGTAAAGTACTGTGATATTATACTGTGTCCTAACCAGACACTACGAGCGTCCAGCAACAAGCAACTTGTGCTGGGTGATTTGACAAAATCACAGAGAATCATAATATATGAGGGCCAAATGTCCCATTTTGGTGTCCGCGACAAATTTAATTGACAAAAGTAATTATTTTAGATACATCTAAAGCATATTAAATGTAAGTATAGTGTCTACTTTCATGTTTCAAATAACTTTTATGAAAATAAAATGTCAAACTGTAGGTAAAATAATGTTCCATGGTCATTCAGTGTAGCAGATGTATTTATGTAAAAATTAAATAACATAATTATTCTGACCTGTAAATATATAGGCTTACAGAATAAGTGATCATACAACATTTTTTTATTTGAAGTTCTTCCTGACAAATGTGTAAAACCTAGTGGTTTGAAGGATAGTGACAAAGATAGATTTAAAATGACAATTCATTTTTTGCAACTTGTGCTGGGTGATTTGACAAAATCACAGAGAATCATAATATATGAGGGCCAAATGTCCCATTTTGGTGTCCGCGACAAATTTAATTGACAAAAGTAATTATTTTAGATACATCTAAAGCATATTAAATGTAAGTATAGTGTCTACTTTCATGTTTCAAATAACTTTTATGAAAATAAAATGTCAAACTGTAGGTAAAATAATGTTCCATGGTCATTCAGTGTAGTAGATGTATTTATGTAAAAATTAAATAACATAATTATTCTGACCTGTAAATATATAGGCTTACAGAATAAGTGATCATACAACATTTTTTTATTTGAAGTTCTTCCTGACAAATGTGTAAAACCTAGTGGTTTGAAGGATAGTGACAAAGATAGATTTAAAATGACAATTCATTTTTTTTGGGGGGGGGCTGAACTATGATCCTTAAATAGCTTTTAATGTCATCTAATGATTATTGGTCTAAATATGCCGGACTTTTAGATTTTTTGATATACAAACTACTGTTACACCGAATGCTATTTTTTCTGTAAAGCATGGTAAAAATGTATAATAGTCCAAATGTTTGCTTAGAAAAAATTCAAAGCTGTATTAAACTTTTATTGTTTTGATGCTTGAAAACCCCTTTTTGTCTTTGACCCATGACTAAGTAAGATTTCTTTGGACAGAGATGAATACTTTAAAGGACCAAAGTATTAAATTCATCAAAAGTGACGGAAAATACTGTATATTTAGATTTCTATCTCAAATAAATGCTGTACTATTGAACTTCAAAAAAGAATCCTGAAAGAAAATGAATCACACGTTTTCAACATTGATAATAATCCGAAATGTTTCTTGAGCAGCAAATCAGCGTATTAGCCTGATTTCTGAAGGATCATGTGACACTGAAGACTGGAGTAATGATGCTGAAAATTCAGCTTTGATCACAGCAATAAATTACATTTTAAAATATATTAAATTGTAAAAATATTTCACAATATCACTGTTTTTACTGTATTTCTCTCAAATAGACATCAAGATGATGAACTACTAAAATGTTTTTGTTTATTATACACATTAAAAAGCACCTAGTCCTGACATTTTTCATCATGTAATTTAAAATGCCAGCCTGGCATATGAAGAAATCCATCACCGAGTGTATGACGGTGAGCACATACATCACAGACTAAAGAGAGCAGTGATAATGTTTGGAGTGAAACTAGCTGGACTCATTCCTCTCCTTTACACACGGGATCAAATATCAGTTTTTCAAGATGGCCTGAGCTCTCCCCTCTAAACACACTCACACACACAAAACACGAAACGACACACACATGCAGCCAGAGGAGAAATGTGGCCAAAGCTCAGGATTAGACTGAGAAACAGAGAGCGAGAGCGAGAGAGAAAGCGGGATATGACAAAAGAGCTAAGCTAACCATGGCTAAGCTAAAGTCTCAGTCAACATTCAGTCATTAAATACATGTACAAATACAAGTCGCTGTGTTATCTATGACTCTCTCCTCGAGTTATGCAAATATCATGTTTTTTGAACGTCTGCTATGGTATGGTATTCTTAGAAGTACCATGAAAATACCACGGTACATGAACATGAACGTTCAGTAATATGGTATATAAGTACTGTGATATTATACTGTGTCCTAACCAGACACTACGAGCGTCCAGCAACAAGCAACTTGTGCTGGGTGATTTGACAAAATCACAGAGAATCATAATATATGAGGGCCAAATGTCCCATTTTGGTGTCCGCGACAAATTTAATTGACAAAAGTAATTATTTTAGATACATCTAAAGCATATTAAATGTAAGTATAGTGTCTACTTTCATGTTTCAAATAACTTTTATGAAAATAAAATGTCAAACTGTAGGTAAAATAATGTTCCATGGTCATTCAGTGTAGTAGATGTATTTATGTAAAAATTAAATAACATAATTATTCTGACCTGTAAATATATAGGCTTACAGAATAAGTGATCATACAACATTTTTTTATTTGAAGTTCTTCCTGACAAATGTGTAAAACCTAGTGGTTTGAAGGATAGTGACAAAGATAGATTTAAAATGACAATTCATTTTTTTTGGGGGGGGGCTGAACTATGATCCTTAAATAGCTTTTAATGTCATCTAATGATTATTGGTCTAAATATGCCGGACTTTTAGATTTTTTGATATACAAACTACTGTTACACCGAATGCTATTTTTTCTGTAAAGCATGGTAAAAATGTATAATAGTCCAAATGTTTGCTCAGAAAAAATTCAAAGCTGTATTAAACTTTTATTGTTTTGATGCTTGAAAACCCCTTTTTGTCTTTGACCCATGACTAAGTAAGATTTCTTTGGACAGAGATGAATACTTTAAAGGACCAAAGTATTAAATTCATCAAAAGTGACGGAAAATACTGTATATTTAGATTTCTATCTCAAATAAATGCTGTACTATTGAACTTCAAAAAAGAATCCTGAAAGAAAATGAATCACACGTTTTCAACATTGATAATAATCCGAAATGTTTCTTGAGCAGCAAATCAGCGTATTAGCCTGATTTCTGAAGGATCATGTGACACTGAAGACTGGAGTAATGATGCTGAAAATTCAGCTTTGATCACAGCAATAAATTACATTTTAAAATATATTAAATTGTAAAAATATTTCACAATATCACTGTTTTTACTGTATTTCTCTCAAATAGACATCAAGATGATGAACTACTAAAATGTTTTTGTTTATTATACACATTAAAAAGCACCTAGTCCTGACATTTTTCATCATGTAATTTAAAATGCCAGCCTGGCATATGAAGAAATCCATCACCGAGTGTATGACGGTGAGCACATACATCACAGACTAAAGAGAGCAGTGATAATGTTTGGAGTGAAACTAGCTGGACTCATTCCTCTCCTTTACACACGGGATCAAATATCAATTTTTCAAGATGGCCTGAGCTCTACCCTCTAAACACACTCACACACACAAAACACGAAATGACACACACATGCAGCCAGAGGAGAAATGTGGCCAAAGCTCAGGATTAGACTGAGAAACAGAGAGCGAGAGCGAGAGAGAAAGCGGGATATGACAAAAGACTCAGGAAAGGAGGTCATGGAAACCCAAAAGCGTTCACCATTTTTATGATTGTGGGTGTGAATCTCATGCGTGTGTGCGGATGGTTTATAAAACAAGAATCTGTGTGAGATAAACACTGTTTTTGTGTTCTCAAAGATATTATTGCATCCTTCTACCACCCCAGAAAAATTCTAAACCATCCCTCCCTCCCTCTCTCTGCCGTCTGATGCTGCTGTCAGCACATTTCCTAAATATTCAGTCGGATCCAGAGAGAACGGCTGAGGAGAATCTGCAGCTAAATGACAAAAGAAAA